CCCCAAAACCCCAAAACCCCAAAACCCCAAAACCCCATAAAGTTTGATTTAGAAAATTCTTGAAATTTTAAGAAAATAACTTTAAAATAATGGAATCACAACTGCTGGAGCTAGAGCACTCTATTGGCTATAACGGAAAGTATTAATGCACAGTCCATTACCATCCATTTGATAAAGATAACATTATATACAACATTGGTGGTCTATTGGTTATTGAAAACATTTAAGATAAGCATTAGCAATAATTCTTAAGAGGTCATGATATGGAAATTTCAGCCATAACAATTTCAAATTCTGGATAGTTGATTGCAACAGGTTAACTTGGTACAATATTCTAGAAACTCCCTGATGCCCCAGTAATCTTATGGAACTATGATAGAAAAGAACCAGTTGCTGTTTTGAAGGGAATGCAAGTATGTGTAAAGAAATTAGCTTTCTCACCGGATGATAGATTTTTAGCTGCTCTAGGAGAAAATAATGCTTTCATCATTTGGGATACTAGAGATGGGTCTGCCATTCACACTAGAGTTTTTGAATTTCCTCTTCATGTTGTTAGTTGGGGCGATATTATGCATGATTAAAATCCAAAGCATCCTTCATATACTTTAGTTACAGCAAATCAGACTAATGTCTTTATCAATTCTTTAGAGTTTGATATTGGGTCAATGCAATATTTCCTAAAATAAGGTGCTGTTTAACTTCCAAATACAGGGCTTATAAGAAACTACACTTTTTCATCTATCAATGGAGATAGTCTACTTCTTGGTACTAGTGGTGGTGAAGTATGTATATTCAGTGTATACTCTAGAATTTATAGAGCAACAATGCCAATATCAAGCAACGGTTTAATGGCGATTGCTTAAATTGATGACAACATTATTGTTGGTGGTGGCGATGGAAAAGTAAAGAAACTAAACATAGGTGGTGGCAAATGGAGTCTTACTCACGAAGCTTAACTAGACTCAAAGATCATGTCAATTACTGTTTCAGCAGATAAGAAGGAATTAATGGTTGGATCATCTGGAGGAAAATTATATAGAATGCTAGTTGCAGACCTTTCTTTCATGCTTCACACTGATGCTCATACTGGTAGTATAAATGACTTAGTATTTGGCAATAGATCAGACTAGTTTATGGCTATTGATGAGAACGGAGCAGTAAAATTATGGGATCTATCTGAATATAAATCTATTTTCACAGCAAACACCATTAAAAATAGCAGAGGATCTAGTTGTTTTGTAGCTAAAGACGATGGGTCTTTAGTAACTGGATGGAGAGACGGATTTATAAGAGCTTATGAAACTTCAGGAAGAGTACTTTGGGAGATAGCTAATGCTCATAGAGGGGCAGTCTCAAGTTTATACTGTGATGCAAACTATATCTTGAGTGGAGGAGAAGATGGAGCTGTGAGAGTTTGGGCTAGAACTACTAGAAAACTTCTCATTCAATTCAATGGTAATAAAAATAAAAATTAATGATTTTTTTAGATTAAAAGAGAGATATTGTTACACTTATACCTGACCTTTAAAAACCATATCAGATTCACTCATGCTCAATGGATAGATCGATATCAACATACGATTTAAAACTTGAAAAGAGAGTGAATGGACACTAGACTAAAAATGGGGCACTATTTGGCATGAGTTAGAGAAGAGATAGTGAACTCGAATTGGTGACATGTGGTTAAGGATCTCCAATATATTTCTGGGATTGTGATTAAGCAGGGCCTGTTGCAGAGATAATGTATCCGTACAAAGTTCTAACAATTCAAGTCAGTCCTAGTGGCAAATTTATTGCTTTTGGTACTGAAACAAATGAGGTCTTTGTCTATTCATTAGACGGTTTAAACAATTTTACATTCTTGGGGAAAGGATTAGGACATTCAGGGCCAGTAACAAAAGTAAAGTGGAGTCCAGACGAAAAATAAATCATATCAGTATCGACAGACTCTTCTATTTCAGTGTGGAACTTCTATGGAGCAGCTTGATATGCATATTTAATCGATATAGATTGATATTAGAAATAAATTAAGTTAATCATTCAATTCATTTTTGTGTTATTTAATATAAAGCCTTATGAATAAGGAATGTTCGTTATGATAGTAACAAGAATGAATATATGAGGGTCTAGGACCTCTCACCCATCTTGTGTCGCAAGTAAACACTCATTTTAGCCAACTTTTGTTCGGTCAGCTGCATTAAGGCAGCGACCTCGTAGGAGTTGGCACAGTATACAGTGATTTTATGTTTTCACATTTATATTTATTAATGATTATAATTTCTACCATAAATTGATTTAAATAGTCTCAAGGGGTTTTGGGGTTTTGGGGTTTTGGGG